ACACACACACACACACACACACACACACACACACACACACACACACACACACATGTACACACAGACATACGTACACGCACGTGGACGACTTTTATATAAAAGGAACCAGGTCAGTTTTAAGCAATTTCGGAAAAGGCTTTCTCTGTCCCCGGAGGAACACGTTTGTGGAAGAGACGAATTAAATGAAAAACGGAAGAGAGAGAAAGAGAGGAGGAGTGACGCGGTTTTGTTCCGCGGTGTCGCTCTTGCTTTTGTATGTACGTCGATAAGGCGGTATTCTCAAGAAACTAGTTGAATTTTAAATACATTCAGGAAGTATCCGGTGTATATATGTGTATACTGATAATTGAATTTTTTAGAGCGCCGAGTGTCATGCTCGGCCAGGACGAATTCTTGTTTCGGCTGTGTCTTCCGTTTTGTGAAAATTATTATTTTTACCACGAATAATAATCATTTAATGACGAAGGAGAGTAGCGCCCTTTTCTTTTGTGCGCACGCTCGGTTTCTTCTGTGCAAAAGCCGTCCATTACCGGGGAAGTGCCTAGGTAGGCTCTTTTTCTCTTGTAAGAACATTTTCGGCAGAGAGCGAATTGTTTCTCGCCCCTCGGTCCCTTTCGCAGTCGCAGGCGGATCGATTTCTCGCACGACGAAGTACGACGAGCGAAAGTTTCGAAGAAATGTTGCCTTACACACTCGTTTGCGTTTGCATTTTTTTTCGATGATGTTAGGAGCATGCCAATCGTCACGAATCGTCATTTTTTCTTAATATTACAGTATACAATGTAAATATTGGCCATTCATTATATTTTTATCTGATAGATAAGAGTATAATGTAGAGTATAGTGAAAATAGTAGAGTATAGTGAAAATTGCAGTTGCAATAAAGAAGCTGCAGAGAATTGTGACGTCGAATGTCTCGTGGACTGTCACTTCGACTCCTGTCATAAAAATTTTGCTAGTGGTGTTTCGCAATCGTGATCATTCGATACGCTTTTAACATCAACCGGAAAAATATGTGAAAATCGTTGCATAAACGAGCGTACGTCCGGCCTATGCACCGCAGCGCGCGTAAATGAGACGAAAATGTGTCTCTTTTTCTGCCTCTGTCTTTCTCTCTCTCTTTCTCTCTCTCTCTCTCTCTCTCTCTCTCTCTCTCTCTCTCTCTCTTTTCTTATCTTTATTATTTTTTTAATTTATTTAAAATCGTCCCCGAAGAGAGAAGAAGAGAGCAATAGCAATATATTCGCGCTTGCGTAACTTATTTATTTGCACTTCCCGACGTGTATATTTCTTTCTCCTAAATCGTGAATTCGACATCGTGAGAGCGTTTTTCGGAGTCTTCTCGCAGGCACGAAGGACAATTTCTGATTTTGACTTAGATTATGTATGTCCGATTTTTTCTTGGTCGCAATTGTATTTTCGCGCGCTGATATTATTATTATATTATTATTATTAATTAATATTATTATTAATATTATTACCTTTTAAGTTCGACCTTCGCGTCAGTCTAATTTATACGACATTATTTGTTTTCCTGTTGTCAACATTAAGAGAAATTCAAGCTGACCGATCGCGCAAGTTACTCGAAACGAGATTGCGCCCGGACGAATTCGTCAGATAATTTATCTGCAAGAGCGATCGTCCGTTCTTAACACAATCGTGTCGGAGCGATATGGAAAACAATTATGACGACATGTGATTGTTCATTGACATGCGTAATTGGTGTTTGACGACGCAAATACAATGGTTTCTTACGCAGAATGCGCTTTGTTATCTCTATTATCGGATCGGATCGTATGTGTATTCTATTTATGATCCCGCGTTATAGTACAAGAGTTTTTCTTTTTTTAAGTCCGATACTCCACCGATCTTTCCTCTTTATCTTTTTTTAATTATTTTTTTTTGCTTCTCGTATTATTAGGTCATTCACGACAAGGATTAACAACGAAGGAACGTGGAGGAGAACGTTGCGCAAGTACGAAAGAACACGCGTAGCGATGATAGCCTACGTAGTAAGATCCATCTAGCTGAATTACGATAGACGACCTTCTTTTCTTTTTTACGTTAGATCGATAAGACCGTAGCGATAAATGTAACGCCGTTCGATTTATCACGCGTCTTTTAGTATATTTAATTGAACGAAAGAAAGAGGAAAAATGGAAAAGAAGAAAAAAAACATAGAAGAGGAAGAAGAGAAGAAGTGGAAGGACCGAGATATACCTTCCGTTAGTGTAATAAAAGAAGAAGACCATCAATATCTCACACATATTCCGCAAGTGTAGGAGCTACTTAGGCGTCAAACATTACACGTTACAAAGTACCTATCCTACTACTCTCCCGCTGACGATGTCGGATATCTGTCTCCACGCGTGAAAGAAAAAAAAAAGATGCACTCGAACTCAATAAGTGAAATTTCCATCTCGGACAGATTTCACTACCGGAAGCTTTACTGGGACCAATAAAACTACTTTGTAAGTCAGCGTACTCGTTTCTCCGTTGATATAATAATCGAGGTCGCGATGATGACGAGGACCACGACGACGAAGACGACGACAACGACGACGATGTGAAGACAATGTGGCGCTTACTCTGAACTCTGTTTTATCTATCGGAAAATGCCTTTAAATGTGACCAATTAGTAGAAGATTTATAAGTCACATTTACAGGTACTTTTATCGATAAAAGTGTACTCAAAAAGAAATAGTCTTACAGTCGCAGCGAAAATTATTTAGATAACAATCCCAAACAGCACAAATCCGGAATCCGCACAGATCCGATTAGGACATCCGAAAAATGTTCTGAGAACATCCTACGTCCTGAAAATGTTCCCAGGATATCCTCTAGAGATTGTACTGTCCAGAATTAGTTAAGACAGATACAAATGAATAACAGATTCTCTGCGAAATCACATATGTTTTGTATTTATTCGACATAGATGATAGAAACAGAATTTGTATCTGAACTATTTCTGAAATTTAGCAAGACAGTCTCTCTGTGACGCCCATTCAAATTAAGGCCAGTCAGATTTCTTACGAGAATAAGATTGCGGCGGACAATAAAAGACTTGCGAGGAGAGACAAACGAATGCATAATTCTTACACTTATATAAATATACTTGCAGAAATTGCTGCGGAATGCGGTTGTTATAATTTTTAACTTGCCACATGCAGTTTTCTATCAGATACAAAAAGACCGCGATAAATTTTGACTGCGACATTTATAGAATTCTACTTGGACGAGCAAAACATCTTTTTAGGTGTGAGTTCAGGATAAGAATGACGATGACGAGGACGATTTAATCTTAAGAGTTCTATTTATGATATATTAAAGTAGTACTTTGACTCAGCCTATAGAGTACAAAACGCAACGTGACTTGATCTCAGATAAAACTAGAAAATTATTCTTGCTTCTCAGCTTCTGGGAGAGCGCGCGGCGTGTCTTTCCATTGATACACGATGCATAAAGAAGCGGTGTCGTCGCGCGCGTGTGCGTGAAGAAGGAATCATGTTTGAGAAAAAAAAAGGACAAAAAGTTTCGGCGCTTCCGCGAAAGCGAAACGGGAAAAAGGGGTGGGGGGGGGAAGGAAAAAGAAAGGAAGAAGGAGAAAATCGGGATCTCCCGATCTCTGGTTCATCACGAGTCGATCTGTCGCATTCACTCTCTCCTCATGTAAATGCGCGGCAGCGACGATCAAACAATTTTTTATCATTAAGAGATTCCTTTTCGTTGAATATCTTTCTTTTTCTTTTTTTGTTTTACTTGTTTACGGCGAGATTCGGTTTCTCTTTCATGACGATCGTTCTTTCTCGACCGATCGTCGCTCTTACGCGAAAACGAAAACGTTCGTCTCTCTCTCACCCGAGATATCACGGCGGAGGAGTTCGAAACGTACACGAGACAGGCGGTTATTACTCATTCATTATCAGATCGGCGACGATGCGGCAAGGAAGAAGCCTGCGCGAGAAAGAGAGAGAAAGAGAGGGAGAGAGTATGCCATAATAAATAAAATCGCGAATGCGTCACGACATGTATATCACACATTCATCTTCTTTATCCAATTCGTTCTCTATTTCCGTACGCGCGTAACTCGGTGATATACCGAACGACTGACGAGGTGTGCGCCTTCTCCTCTTTTTTTTACTCTCGCTCGACCGAGGATACCTTTCTTTTCTTTTTATTTTTCTTATTACGCTGTTGATTTAATTGATTCGTGCACCAGTCGCGTGCAAGACTCCGCGATTCGTTTCCCGCGACGAGAAAAACCGCGCGCGCGAAAGATGTCTCTTTTATTTTTTTACGTATGCACGTGCATGTGCATGATCGCGCGTTTGTTCCTAGTGTGAAGTAGTTCGCGGTTCATCGCTGGTTGAAATAAAGTCGTCGAGTCGAATCTTACGCGATTCCCAGCCGACTAATCACAGCCCTCCCTGAAAACTGCGACTCCTGGTCCGATGCGACTCGATCGTGTTGACGGCTCGTTAGAGAGAAAAGGAACATAGAGGCAATACTATACTACTATACGCAAAATGTTAAGTTACATGTAATGCGTAAATGACAAGTGCGTTCTTTACACACAATGTACCTTGCAATAACAATAAGTTTGATATTAAAACGACATGCTACCCTCATTTTTTTGTTTCACCCTCCCATCTCACATCAACGTCCGCCTACGCTTCCTTATTGAGAATTCTGATTTTGCGCACAATATGTGTTTTATCGTATTGGAATTATTCTTTTTTTTTTTTTAACAAAGCTTTGCAGGACGTTTGACGTTTACTTCGTTTACAAGTGACAATGAGATGCTCACCAATGACAACTTTCAACTAATAGCGAATATTAAAGTCTTGACTTCCAACGCTTCAAGCTTTAGAAACGTAAATCTCAGTAGGACATAACAGAGAAATAAGATTAGTTTTAAATAAACTTTGTGCAAATCTTATTCGAGGATTGTTTAGCGAGACATTTGACGTTGGGTTTAGTCCCATTAAGAACTTTGGAGCTTTGTGTTGGAAAGTACGATTACGAGTTCGTCGAAGAGTAGTTGAATATTCGGGCAGTATTTTGTGAGGAGGCGGAAGAAGGGAAAACGTGCGCGTCACGAACACGTGATTTGTGATTTTCCTTATATTTACGAACACGTCTTACACATAGCAATAAGTAGTAGCAATAACGTTCGAAAATTCAAATACACAATATTTAGTGTTATTTATCTCCCTCTGCCTCTGCCGCGATTAAAGCCTCCTCTGCCACGACCGGACACCTTCCCCTTCGGCGGTGGCGATTTCGGTCGAAGCGCTTCAATCCTTTCAGTACAGCCAGTGGTGATTTGTCCGTTGGTAAAATAACTCTGATATAGATCCGCGTTGAAATTGGTGTTAGTCAGTTCCGGGCCAACAGTGAGCCAGCCTGGCCTGATAGTGCTATCGCGACCGAAAAGATGCAACCTGAAACAAAGTAATAAACGATCATAAAAATAATGATACGGATGGAAGAGAAAGAGGCAGATTCGGAATTATCTTGTATCTTTAAATACGTAACGATACGTAACGATGTGATTTTTCTTATACACAAATATACTATGTTGTACTTTATTCGATTACAACAAATTCGTGGTATTAATTTTATATACGTATCAGTATTGACTGCAATTGTCGTTTTATGGATATATCTTTTCATTTCGACGTACTTTGTAAGAATTTGGACGTGCATTTACTTGCTTCTGACGTTATCAAGAGTTCTATGGCGAGGCACACGGAGCCTTAACTACTTTCTTAAGAAATACTTAATCTATTCTTAAGAAATATTATATCTATTCTTAAAAAATTAATCTAGTAAATAAAATCTTAAATACCTGAGTATTAAAGATCGGTGTTAATCAGATAACATTTATCAAGATACTTAAACACCGAGTACCTAGATATTAACAAAGCTGATGTATTTTGTACGTTTTTACCATATAACACTCGACTTGCAATCATATTACAAAATAATTCCGAACCATTCTCTCCGTCCGTACACCGTCGTACCGTCTTCGACCGAGGCAAAAGTGCTCGATTATGTGGAAAATCTCCACAGGCTTCTCTATGGAGCCGTAATCTGGCTCCTCGGATATGATGAGATCAATGTCGACGTTCGCGTGAATGAAATCCCCATCGGTAGAACGTCGTACTGTGCCCTTGATGCCCATCAGACAGTGCTCCTTCGTCCTCTGTAGCACCGCCTTGCTGTCCAAGTTCTTGCTGTGGCCCGGATTATTGATATTGGTGCGGATCCAGCAGATATCCTCACAACGACGGAAGCCCCACTTACGCAAGCAGAACCGACCCATATCTAGGCCGTCGCTGCTACCGCACCACAGGAATACGAAGCTCCGATTGGCTGCCACTTCGCCGATATCCAGCTCCATTATCTACATATGAATGTATCAGGACTAATTGCTATGTGCGAGCGGAGAATGAAAGTATATTTTTCATCCTTTTTCTTTCCCTTTTACCCCTTACTTTTTAGTATATATACATACATACATATATATATATATATATATATATATATATATATATATATATATATACATATATATATATATATACATATATATATATATTTTTTTTTTAATGCAAAATATCTCATATATATTATGTGCTATAATTGTTGAAAAAAGAAAATAGGACACAAAAGGGGGACAAAATAAAAAGAGACAAACTAACTTGGTCCCAATTCCACAGCTGCACATTGGTCGCGCCGCATGTTCTCTGATACTCTTCCAAAGGTGGCTCTATAAGAATGACATCAAATTTACAATTGAGCTCTTTCAAGTTATATGACAGCAGGTCTGTTTTTAGATACATTGGTGGCGTCGCGGTCTCCGCGATCAGATCGTCCTTCAGCTTAATCAATTCGCGCAATTTAGGATATTCTTCAAATCTATCGGCTAAACCCACATCCCTGATAAAATTCTGTGGTCGTTGACCAGTGTCGATGAAATGTTGACAGTAGTCATTGTGAGGATTCGACGACTGGGTTCCCTAGAAACAACATTCTAGTATTTAAGATGTTCATTCATCAGGTATTTATTTTCAGAACACTCAAGAGGTGTATTTTTAGTATCAAAAGAGCTACTCATAAATTCATTTCTATTTATCATACAAAATTATATCTTTATATATCTATTTTACTAAATAATAGATCTAAATAATAGATGTTAATTTAAAACTAATTTTATAATATTATCTTGTTTCATTGTATATTTTATTCAGCACAATGTTGTTCAAAATATAAAACAATAGTTTTCTGGTCTATAATCAACCATTACACAAAAATAGTGTAGTGAATATGATTCTTTTTTCTACACTGCATATCCTCATATGTAACATATATAATGGTAAGTTTTGTATTTGAATATCATTTCCCAGAGATAGCACAGACCTCCAAAGGACATTCTAAAGATATCCCTTATGTCCTAAGGACATTCTCCCATAACGTCTCTTAGAGATTTCTGCGCTTTTATGAAATTATACTGGAATAATCTGATTATCTGTATTACTTTTACCATAAGATTATATAAAATTGTGATATTCAGTATTAAATTTCTCATGAACGATACATACAAATAGCATGAAATTTTAACTATACATGTGTTTTACTGCAATAAATGTTATGTTGAATCTTTATATAATTTTAAGCATTTTTTAGCTTAACCCTTTATCTGGCAATGTTGCTCTCAATCAAGATCAATTTCTCATAAGCTATATGCAAGAACAATAGATGCAAGATATAGTTATTTAGTTTCTGGAGCAACATCTGATTACCTGTTTGTTGGTGTCTTAGTACAATTTTTACCACTAGATGACAAAAAACGTTGAAAATATATTTCCAAGATATCTTGAAAACAATATAACTCCATTCAGGAGACATCATTTACTTCATTTAAACACTCAGAAATTGTTTTCCTTACATTTTTTGGGGTCTGCCAAATAAAGGGTTAAGTGAATAAACTCCTTAATAACAAGATATACAATCTGCCAATGCAAATACATACTTTCAAGAACGTCGACGAGTCTTTATACACAATTTCGTCTGTCGGTACAGCATCATCTTTCAAATCTCTAATTGCATTGTCAGATTTGTCATTGAACTGCTTTCCTCTCTTTCTCTGCGACTCCTCTACATCTGTTCCTAAGATTTGCCTGAGCTCGTCCACGCTGGAAACTCCCAGCTGCGAAAACAACAGCGCAAACGTATAAAAAGTAATGCCGGAAACGTGCTTTAAACCTAACCTTAAAAAATGCAACAACTTATAACAGCCTCTCTTTCTTTGTATACTATAAAGTATGCTCACCGTTTGCGCCAGGAGTTTCTTGCGTTTCTGAGAACGTTCACGAAGAGTTTGCAGCATTGTTTTCCCATTCGTTACTTATCGTCGATAAACATATCCAGCCGGTTCTTGTTTCAATTCGTTTCTCAGAGTGACGTTAATCGAGTTAGTTGTAAAGTTGAAATTGACGATGGAAACATCAAAGGCAATCATATTTCCTTTAACAGATCGATTTCGATGTAATTGCAGATATTATTTGCACATTGTGGTCTTCTGTTGCGAATGCTGACTGCATACGATGTATTTTCTCAATTATGAACGAAAAGGTTAGGGCTACTCTATTGGTCTGTTCTTTTCAGCTGCACTGGTGGAATGAGTTAAAATGAGATTAATGGCCTGTTCTTTTCAGCTGCACTGCTGAACTGGTGCAATAAGTTAGGATGCGTTCCCACTTAGCGCGTTACGTGTCGTGTCGTCCGAGTTAAGCCAATCAAATCGTCCCATTTTATTGCGTAATTTTACGTCAAATAAAATGGGACGATTTGATCGGCTTAACTCGGAAAACGCGACGCGTGATGCGCTAAGTGGGAACTCAGCCTTATGGCTTCTGCACACAGGACGCGGTAATGCTTGCTGCGCGGCAGAAGTCCGCGCGACAGCCAATCAATATGTTGTTTTTCCGTAAGAACTAGAAGGTTATTACGGAAAGCAGTATATTGATTGGGTGTCGCGCGAACTTCCACGTTCTGTGTGCAGGAGCCATTAGAGTGAGAAAACACTTGTCTTGGTCAGAGAGATTGGCTGCGTTCAGAAAACATAGCTGATCAGTGAGCGGTCAGTGATTATTAGTCCTTACTGTTAGATCCCTAACTTTAAATCAATTACTTTGACTAATTACTCAACCGTTGTGCAACAGTTGTGTCTTCTGAACGCACTCAATCTAGAGCGGATTCGCCGGAAGTCCGCCATTAATTGGGCAACTTTTGGTGACGCGCGAGAAATTTAATCTCTTTAAACTTCAGATCCCAGTTACTATACACATATACATCTATTTAAATTACTATTATTAGTAATTACTATTAAGTTCCGCTTTCTCATTTATTATTTTAATCACGAAATTTAACATCATATAACGTAAAATGAACAACTAACAACTATTACACTTGTACACATTTATGTACCTTTAAATAAAACTTATAACAACAATATAAGTAATCTCTATTTATTAAAATTATCTAGTATATATATATATATATATTTTTTTTTTAACTATTTATTATATTACCTAAATAATAATATCTCAGGACTAATATCTCAGGAGTTTTTTATTTCTTTCGACATTATATAATGTGTGATTATTATTGATTATAATATTTTCAAGAATTTACATTATATATTTTAAAGAATGTACATGTATATATTTTTATTTATTATCATTATTTGAGCGATAAACTATACATTTGCAGAGTGTGATAATATCTCAATTCATATTTTATGTCTGTCGTGCTGGTGAGTACAGCTCCGTATTGGTGCCGCCATTTTCCAGCCATCGTCCCGTGCGCCAATCACGTGACGACCTCCCAATCAGTCTCTGTTTGAAGGTCTCTAGCATCGTCCATTGAAATCAGGCTGGTGGCCGCTCTCATGCTTCTCTCTGACAGATGTCGAATTTAGTTTCAAAATTTCCGCTACGAGTCGCCACTATTTACCGAAAAAAGATTGTGATACGACTCAATAGAAGGATCAGCTTCCGCTTCTATTTCAAGTAATACTATTCAAAGACACATTGTTTCTTATATTGAAACATATATGTTGCCTATAGGCAAAATTCAACAGGCTATAATTATCATAAAAATGACGACAGCGAAATGGTTCAAAAAGCATTTTAAAGCTTGCAAAATCTACTTTTCAGAAATAGTAAACTCAACGTTATTGTTATTTATCGCAGAAATATATCAAGGTAAGTGAAAAATAGTGGCTATTTATTTTTCAACTTTATCTTTTTGTTGAATTTTCATACAGAATATTTGTTTATTATCAAAAATTGTTTTTTTATCAAAAATTAGTTAATTGTCTTTTAAAGAGAAAACTTTAAACTTTTTATTCATTATTTGTTGAACATCGTACATCAACTTGTTCGCCTGCTGTAAGTGAAAGTACTGAAAGTACAGTAAATGAAAGTACTGAAGTTAAAGTATGTGGGTTTTATTTTAACATTAAATAGCTCAGAGAAAAAATTTTTGCTGCAATCTGTAGATATGTAAATTAAAGAAGAAAACTCACGTCTTTGATTGGTATAAATCTTATTTATTTATGATTTTTTATTTAAATGGTGTAATTTGATAAAATAAAAAATTATAGCACTAAAAATGTGCGCGCGCGGATCTTGATTTATATCCTAAAATATTTTTCGAATTACCTCGTTATTATAATTTTTGCGAAAGTTGCATTATATTGTTTGATTCGTGATTCAGGCATATTTGGTGGTATAAAATTAAACAAACTTAGCTAATATTTCAAATAAATTATTAATATATGTTTTTATTTAATTTTTACCTCGTGAATATTATAGATTTTTAGATACATACATTCTCTCAAGGTTCATTGTATCTATTTTTTAAAATATCACGAAGCAGAACGGATATATTTTTCGAGACAAATTTGTTTGTAGCGGACAGTAATTCAAGGATAAAACTGTGGTTTATCAGACGGTGTGCCAGAACCACATCTTCTTCGTCACTCAACTCATCGTTCCTCAGTTCGTCGTACACGCGTGTTATTCCTTCGCGAAGACTTAGGGAGGTGTGAAAGAGATCCGCTTGCGACACGTGCCATGGTAAACATGTGGCTAAGACAGTCTGAAAATGAAAGCGTTCCAATAAATTGCTACTTTTAGATGCACAATTACTTATTATCTTCAAATCTAAAATTCAAAATTATATTAAAATTTTGATTCAAACCAGAAGATTGAGCCATACTTAT